AAGGATTTTGCCATAATTCACTGTCGAAGAATTAATGAAAACAAGCCGCTGATACTTCAAGAGAATACTGACAACAGTACTTCGACTTGTCAGCCTCAGTCACGGACCATGGACTCAATCGAGCTTTGGACTATTCGCGGGACTGTTGAACTCGTAAAATCGACATTCGCGATACTAGTACGACTACTGATCGAAATATTGCGGCGCACATGCTGTTAATGAGGGACATCATGTGGAAAGCTTTTGCCGTAAGCGTGTCAGACACTATAGTCGAGCACCGGTTGTTTTCATATGCTCTGGTACTGTAAGTGGATGCAGCGTTTAGTCAATGGTTCAGCACATCATCCGCTGCAAGAAAGTAGACGCTGCTTTGTTATGTATTCTTCATCGGTAAATACCGCATATATCGGGTGTCACTTTGTCTTTTCCGGTTTCATGTCCGAGTATCGGATCGTCTGATAATTGGTCTGGTTGCACTGCTTTGCTAGCCTTTGATCGTTTTCGACGGACCGTCAGACATGACCTCAGGGGTTGGATTATTACGGAGCGAAGGTCACCGTGCTGGAGTCCATAACATAAAGCAAATCCATAGCTTTGATGACGTCTGGCATATAACGTTGTCCTTCGTTTTAGTGTACGACTCAAACGCTGCGGTCGAAACGTCGTCGGCAACGTCATACGCGAACGACTTGGAGCAGCGGCTGTTGCTGGCCAGCAAAGGCAGCATCCTCCCCTCCGGATTTGGCAGCATTCCGCTGGCGACGTCCGCCTACTTCCCGCCCGACTTCCGGTTACAGCTGCAGCAGTACCCGTTTCTATCGCCATTCGTCACCAACCTGACCGACTGTGCCTCAGGCCTGGTTCGTATTCGCTTTTCATTTATTTCGTGCATGCATAAGCTCAAAATTATTTTACTCTTTGGGTTTTTAAATTGCTGTATTTGCTGCTTTTTCTGTTAAACTCTTTTCTCTTTTAAATTCATCTTTTGAACGAATATAGCGAATAAATTGTAAATTTTACACGAGGTCCGTTCAGCTGGTGAAAATGCACTTCTAGTTTAATGCTGGAAACGTGTATTGAAATGGATTGTCTTTGTGAAAAGAAGCTAACATCGTTAGAGTCGTGCTTTGTTATGGCTGCCTCCGAACTTCCGGTGTAAAACACCACGTTTTATA